GCAATGGGGTTACCGGGAGTGGGGGCAACTGAGGGCCCAATGAGGAGGGAATCACGGGTCCCCCTCAACAGAGAGCTCCTCAGCGTGGGCTGTCAGCATGGACGGACCAGCTCTCTGACGACCAAAATCTCAAGAAGGAGCACTGGATGGAGAGTCACGAGTCCGGGTTCTGGTCCAGCTCTGTTCCAACCTGCAGGCTACTCTCCAACAACCCACCCCATTCTCCAGGCCTCAGTCTCCCCCGCTGTGAAATGGACTCGGTGTTTCTTAACATTTCAGGGGCGAGGGTCCTTTTGCGGTTCTGACAAAGCCCCGGACACTGATGCACACCCAGCGCCTGCAGCTGCGCACCCGGAGCCGGGTGCCACAGCCTCATTTCCGAGCCTCATCCGCGGACCCTGGGCTAGATGATCCCCGCGGTCCCCTCTGGCCTTGACATCACCTCACAGGGGCGAGTGGATGAGGCTGGGGCACTGGCCGCCCTGGGGACAAATGCCCAGGAGCCCCACGTCATCGCCATTCTCCTCCGGGTTGCACACAGAGCCCCAGACTCACACAACTGCCCCCTCACGGCCCAGCCCAGGTCCCCAGGGCCCCGTGGTCACACCTGTGTGGCCACTGGTTGCCAAGGTGACAGAGAGCCAGGACAGGACTATGCAAAGTACCCGGGGGGCAGGCCGTGGAAACGGGGGGCCCTGGAGAAGCTGCCCATTTGCCTGGCATCTGCTCCCCGGGGCTCACGGAAAGGAACGGGCCACGTTTGCTTTCAGCTGGAGGGGGCTGCCCTCGATGTCCTTCTGCCCCTGCTGTGGGGGGAGGAAGGCCGGTGCCTGGGGGGACCCCCGGAGGGGCCGACCCCAGGGACTGAGGGTTGCATCAGCTCCTCTCCCCATCATGCCCTCCAGTCTGTCTGTCTCTGTGTCCATCAGCACGTCCCTCCATCGGCTTCTCTGTCCCCCGCCCCCGGCCCACTTTTCCCGTGTCTCTTTCCCACCTGTCCTGCCTCCTTGGGGACGAAACTGGCAGCTGGAAACCCGGTGCCACTGGGGCTCAGGGTGCGGCAGGGGTGGACAGGCACCTCAAGGAAGGTGGGAGATGGGCCCTCTGAGCCACCTGGGAGGAGGTCCCTGCGGAGACCTCAGACCCACTTCTCAGAGGGCCTGGCCTCCCAGTCACCCCTCCGAGAGGTCAGAAGTCAAAAGTGGAATGCATGGGGTGGTCCCCCAGGCTGGGGACTAGGGACCAGCTAAGGCCTTCAGGGAGAACCCTACGGTGGGTGGGACCCTATATCAAGCCCAAAGACCTACCCAGGCCCCCTCGCCAAATTCCCCTAGGTGACCTCAAGCAGGCCATGTCTCAACCAGAAAAAGATCTGGAGGTTCCAAAGGACCACAAGCTCAGCGAGAGCCAAGAGAGTGAGAGTCACCGAAGGCGGAGGGAAGGGACGCAAACGTTGTAGAGTCTCTATGATTGCAAACATCGTTGCATCTGCTCACCACAGTGCTGTGGAGGGTTTTTATCCCTATTGTACAAATGACAAAACTAAGCCTCAGGAGGCTACATGGCTTGCCCAAGGTCACTGGGATTTGAACTCACTTTTGTGTCCCTCCAGTGCTCATACTTTTTCCATTAAACTTAAGGTTACATCTAAAGGATCAGACTGTCCAGAACAAGGGAGGTGACAGTCCTGCCATGCGATGTGATCAGACCTCACACGGTGGATGATTTGAACAGTAATGGCTCACATTGACGGATCCCTTCCTGGCCATCAGGCTCAGTGCTAGATTCATTTTCATGTTGTGGCTCATTCAATCCTCCTAACTGTAAGGGATGAGTACTATCACACTTATGTCCCCATTTTATATAAGAGGAGACTAAGGCTCAGAGAGGTGACGTGACTCGGCCCAGGTCACACAGCCAGGTTCCCAGCTCAGGATGACTAGACTGCTCTCCTTGGCACCACCAGAGGAGGTCACAAAGTGGACAAAGAGCCAGAAACTGTGTCCCACAGGGAGCAGACGAAGGAATGGGGACATTCCGCCTGGGGAGGAAGAGGCTCGGGGAGCTCTGGATGGGAGCAGAAAGGGCTGGCCCCAGCCACCCCCAGTGAGGTAACGCATCACGCAGCTGCCTGGTAAACGACAGCAAATGTTAGACTACAGTGCTGCTGGCTTCTTTCCCGGCATGGAGCTGGGGTGGGGCCCTCGATTTCAGCCCCAAGAAAAGGCTGGGGTCTATGACTCGGGACCTCTTCCTCTTCCTGAGGCTGAGGTCTGACCGGCCCGGGTTCCAACCCCGGCTCTGCCACTTACTGGCTATACGACCTCTCACAGGCGTTCCCATCCGAGCCTCACTCCCCTCGCCACGATGCCCACCCTGATGCACGTCACAGAGCAGGCGCCCCAAGGGACATCAGCTCTCCTCCTCACCAAGGCCTCTCTGCGCCAAAGGCTCCGGGGGCAGAAGGTAACTGCTGGGCACGTGGATCTGGAGGGAGGGCACAGCAGGGCTCTGGAACAGAATTCCGATGCACCTCGAGCCCTCAGGGCCATGTGGCACCTGCCCCACCATCCAGGGCAACTGCAACAACCTGAGTGAGGGGGACACAGCTGGCTGCATCCTTATGTGCGGGTCTCTGCACCTCCCTGAGCCTCAGTCGGCTCCTCTGTGAAACGGGAGGAACAGAATGTACCTGCGGTGTGGCGGTGAGGGCCCGAGGGTGTGACGTCTAAAGCATTTAGCATGACGCCCGGCCCCCGGCCTGCACTCAAGCAAGCTGGCCCCACACAGAGGACATACAGGGACCGTGATGAATGCGTGTGTGGTAGGTAGATGAACAAAGATGAAGCTGTGACTCCATGAAGAGGGTGGGCCGGCACCCTGCTGCTTCCTCCGGCCCCCAGGAGCTCCGGCCAGCCCGGTGGCCAGCAGCCAGCACAGGTGGCCCCTCATTTCCTTAAAGAGTATGCCCCACTGGCAGCCTGCGGAACGGCGGTGGCAGGGACATCCGGCCTCAGTCAAATGGCTCATGCTGCGAGCCCAGACCTGCGGCCAGGCCCCCAGCCACAGCAGGGAAATGAAGAGGCTCTGTGGGCCACCGCAGACATGGGGACTGACTGCGGTGACCATGCAAAGAGGCCTCGGGCACCCGGGCGTGCACTGTGCCCGCTCCGGAACCGCCAGCCCCAAGTCTGGGGGACCAGGGAGGGCAGAGAGAACAGAGTGAGTGATGGCTTTGAGCCGCCCCCTGCCCTGGAAACACGGAGGCAAAGGCACCCAGCGGGGGAGGGCAGGGCACAAGGACAGTGGTGGAGAGGCAGCTGGAAGACGCGGACCTGGTGGGGCAGGGGCCAAGGAGCGTGGGCTGTGGGCACCCACAGACCTGAGTTCAAACCCTGGGCCCCCTACTAACCAGCTCGAGCCAGTCATTCCACCCCGACCTCCATCAGTCCTTCCACAGAAGGCAGATAAGTTACCCGGGAAGGTCAGTGTCAAGGTCATGAGACTAGGCAGCTAAGGCACTGCTTCGTACTTAGCCACCTCTGCTACCGTCTCAGCCTGACCTGGAGCAAGTCACTCCATTTGCTCAAAAACATTAACTGGCCTACGTACAGCGACTATAAAAACACAGGCTCTCCCCACTCCCCTCCCGCGAGCCCGGCCCGGGTCCTCCAGGTGCTGCCCTCTGTCTCTGCATCAAGCCCCCTCTTGCACAAATCAGCAGATTTGCCCCGGGTGAGCAGGGCGGGGGGCTCTGCCGCGGACTGAAGTCTCTGTCGCCCTCACGGCGGCTCCGGTCCACGGGCTCCGACAGGGAGGTATCGGTGCCGTTCAGGAGCAGCAACTCACACGTGATCTTTGGATGGAGACGGGCCAGGATGGACATCATCCCCTCCCCAGCTGGCGGCTTGGACCCACGGATTCTGGGCTCCAGCCAACTGGCCACAGTGGCCCCTCCACCTCATCCCTTGGCCAGCTGAGCGGATCTTTCCCAGGCGGTTCAGCACCGAGTGTGGACATCCAGGTGGAGGACAGAATGGGTTTTGGGAATTGGAGAGACCTGGGTTTACATCCCAGACACACCGCACCCTGGGCAAGTCCCCTCACCTCTCTGTACCTGTTTCCTCGTCCGCACAATGGGAGCACAGCAGCACTGACTTCACAAGCTGTCGGGAGTGAGAAAACGTATGCAAAGCCCCCGGCAGGGGCATCAGTCAGGGTTCAGGGAGAAACAGAACCAAGAGCAGGCAGAGAGGGAGAGAGGCATCGTAAGGCACCGGCTCACACCGTGATGGGGGCTCAGGAAACCCAAACTCCGCAGAGTAGGCCAGCAGCCGGAGACCCAGGGAGGAGCTGCAGGGGGGCCAAAGGCCGTCTGCCTGCAGAATTCCTTCTTGCTCATGGAGGTCAGTCTTTGTTCTGTTAAGGCCTTCAACTGATTGGAGAAGGCCCACCCACATGATGGAGGGCAATCTGCTTTACTCAAAGTCCACTGATTTAAATGTTAATCTCATCCAAAAAACACCTTCACAGAAACATCCAGAATCACATTTAACTAAATATCTGGGCACCGTGCCCAGTCAAGTTGACACAAAATTACCCATCACAGCACATAGCAGTGGTTGCTACAATAGGTAAATGGCAATGTTTTTGAATCATTAATTATGTGTCTGGTATTGTACTAAGGACTTATAGGAATTAACTCATTTAATTCTCATGACAGGTGTGTTTGTGTGTGTGTGTGTGTATTATTATGCTCAACTTACAGATGAAGAGACAGAAGGTCAGAGAGGTTGTGTAACTTTCTGGAGATCACCCAGCCCCAGCCTATGTGACTCACGTTCCCGCCGCCTCCAGCAGGTATTCGCAAACATCAGCGCCCACCCTTCCTGCCATCACACTCAGGATCTGCACCCTGGCACAGGTGACACATTGGCAACACCACCAGTGTTGGGAGAAGTCGGCCGGCCCCTGTCACCCCCACCAGAAAGACCACCGAGTGGGTGAAGTAACAGGCATTTTATTGGGGGCACCAGGGCGAATCCTGTTGCCACCTCACAGTGCAGTAGAACCAGGACACATCCAGCCCCCGCCGACCACCCCGGCCCCTCAGGGAAACAGTGCAGAACTGGAAGGAGGCAGGACCCGGGCCAGCCCGGGCAGCACTGGTGCCCACCCGACCGTCGGTGCAGCGGGAAATCGTGGCACTCGGGGAAAGGCCACACCAGCCGTCCGGGGGAGGGCCCAGCACTCTCAGGGCCCCCTAAAAGTCACCCCTTATGGCTCTCTGGCCACCCAGAATCCGACCCGGAGATATTCGCCAGTGTCCACCCATTGGCTGCGTCCAACAAAGCACAGGCCACCAAGGAGCCAGTCCATACAGAGCCACTAACACGCATGGGAGACAAGATTCTACAGGCGACCTCAGCCCAGGCTGGAGGGGGACCCAGGCTATGTCTCCGGGGCTGAGAGGTGGGAGCAACGTCTGCCTGGGCCCGTTCCACCACCGCTCGGCGGGAACGGAGCTCCTGCAGGAAAACCCAGGCGCAGAGTGTGGCCGTGTCTCGAGGCAGGAGCAGAGAGCTTGGGGGCAGCTAACACGGCACGGAGGCCCCCCAGGGCTCCCAAACTCACAGCCCAGACAGGAAGGACCAGCATGTCCCCCCCTCGGCAGGTGGCCTCCAGCGGCAGCCCCCGCCCCAGCACGTGGAGATGGCAGGGACCACGTGGTCCTCAGGCGGACACAAGCCCCTGGAGAAAGGCACACGGGTGTCTAAGGCGCATGTTGGCACAGGCCCCTGTGGGGTCAGGCGGGTCTGGGTGAAGCGCCTGTGAGGACGGTGGGCAGCCCTGACCGGGAGGGCGAGGCCAGCTGGTGCCCCATGCCCTGCAGGCCACCCGGTCACACCCAGCCCTGGAGAGCTGGTGGAGCCAGGGCCAAGGCCAGAAGCCTCCCTCTGTGGGCCCAGAGCTGCCTCCTTGTCCCCAAGGGATCCTGGGAGCTGCTCCACCGCCACAGGTCCCTAAGCCACTAGACCACAGTGTAAGGAGAAAAGGACAGACAGAATCAGCCGGGACCAAGGTCCTACCTGCCAGATGGGATTTCTAGGGTGGCTGACGGAATAGGAGGTAACAGCCCTGTTCCTCCCTGGCGTGATCCCAAACCAGAGGCCAGCACCTGACCCCGAGGGCGGGACGGGCCAGGATATGGGCCGGTGGGGGGCAGCGGGGCAGATGTCGGCCCTAGAAAGGGGGGTGTCTGTGGGGAGCCGGTTGGAGGGGCTGGGACGGGCCAGTGCAGCGAAGTCAGTAGTCTGGACAGACGACAGAGGACAGCGAGGTGCCGCGCGGGGCTCAGTGCATGTACGAGTAGCGCCAGTCCCCTAGAGGCGCGTGGGTCTCCTTGATGACCTGGGGCGACGTCCAGCGCAGGATGTAGTGGGGGCCCCCCGGCTTGTCATTGGTTCCTGCAGAAATGACAGCTCTGTCATCCTCCGAAAAGACACAACAGCTCTGGGCAGAAGGAAAAAGGGTGGGGAGTTGACGGAATAAAGGGGCCCCAGCCCGGGCAGAGAGCAGCTAAACTAACGCTACACGAGTTCAAGCAGCCCAGGTGCCGGGCGCATCGTGCGGAGCGCGCACAGCTGGACAGGCAGGGCCTGACGAGCAGGCAGGCGGTCTGCTCCAGGGTCCATGCAGCCCCCCGCAAGGGGTGTCTGGGAGGCAGGGATGCATGCGGAGGGAGCATTAGACTGGGGGTCAGGAAATGTGGGTTCTAGCCCTGGCTCTGACACTCGGCCACTGGAACCTTTGGCAAGTCACTACCCCTCTGTAAGCCTCAGTTTCCCCATCTGTAAAACGGAGGGTGTTGGACTGAAGTGACCTGGAACATGGTGGTAAAAGGTGTGGGTGCTGGGACAAAAGCCAGCTCCACCACATCCTAGCTGTGTGCCCCGGGGCAAATCACATCACCTCCCTGGGCCTCAGTTTCCCCTTCCATAAAATGGGAAGAAGAATAATAGTGCCTCAGCTCATGAGGTTGTTGACAGCACCCTGTGCTAGCACAGCCCCTGGGCCACAGTGCTCGTTAAGTGGCACTGTTCCTATTACTCCTAACACCCTGGAGACAAAGGGTCTCCCGCCAGGAACTCGGCTCCCCTCTGGACAGGTGCACCCACTCACCAGAGGCTCGGGCCCCCCCGAAGGGCTGCTGGCCCACCACCGAGCCGGTGGACTTGTCGTTGATGTAGAAGTTGCCAGCAGCGTTCCTCAGCATCCTGGTGGCCTCCTGGACAACGTCCCTACCAGGCGGGGCAGCAGTAAGAGGGCAGCCGCTCACCCCGCCCTCCAGCCTCGGGTCCCACCTCCAACCCCTCACCTGCCCCCGCCCACGCCAGCCATCCAGGTGAAGCACTAGGCCAAGTCGGGGACCAGTGACACGGGCCAGCCCATGGCTGTGCACCCTTGGGCAGGGTGCTTAGAGTCTCTGAGACTCAGCTTCCCCCTCACCTCCCAGCAGGGCTGTTCAAGGACTGAACAGGACGATGGAGGGTCAGCCACACACACTCACGGGAGTGGCCCATCCTGGTCCAGTTTTCCTGCCCATCGGGAGCCAGGGGAACCCCCAGACCCTCCCCACTCAGGTTCCAATCCCACCTCCACTCTCAGAGGTGGACACAGGGTGGCCCCAGTGCCTGGGAGGAAGGAAAGGCCGAGCCTCAGGTTGGCAGGAGCCCCAGACTCGACTCCTGCCTCTGGAGATGAGCAGTGCGCCCCGAGCCCCTCTCCTGCTGTGCAGCACGAGCCATCAAATCCCAGAGCCAGTTAAAGCGCAGATCCCGGGCCGCCCCGAGATGCTCAGACTCATGCGGGGCTCCTGGCCCTGCATTTTAGCAAAGAGCTGGCTGCCTCCCCGGACTGTGCTCGGCCGCCAGCCAGTCGGGCTGAAGGGAGAAAGCAGGGGCGGCATGATTACTAGAGTCCGGGTCCAGGAGGGCGGTCTCCAGGGTGGGGGCAGGACACCAGGCCGGGAGCCAAGGGGCCGCGGCCACTCACTTATCCTGGGCGAACACTGCCCCCGTGAGGCCGTAGCTGGTGGTGCTGTCCACGAGCCGCAGCGTCTCCTTGTACTGGTCGTCGGGGTAGACGTACACGGTCAGCACAGGCCCGAAGATCTCCTGCGGGAGGAGCCCAGGCTCAGCCTGCGCCCTCTCCTGAGCCCCTGCAGGCGCGGCCTCCTGCCCGGGCCCCTCCGAGGACAGCCACAGGCTCAGCCCCTGCCCTGCCCACCCCACCCCACCCAGCAAAAGAGCCCAGAAACTTTCTGGCCCTGGCTGCTGGCCAAACCCGCCCTGTAGAGCCAGGGCCCAGACCCTCGGAAACGGGGGACTTCCGACAGCAACTGGCACAGGAACCGCCCAGCAGTGTCACTGTCCCCTCTGCCAGCCTCTGGGGGAGGACCCCCACCCCTGCACTGCCATCCTGGGCAAGTGCCTTGACTCCTCGGAGCCTCAGTTTCTCATCCGTGAAATGGGGTAATGGCACGAGAAAAAATGCCATGCAAAGGCCCTGTGCCAACGCTGTGCTCGGGTGAGACTGACCCTTCGACACCCAGGCTGCTGCCCCACTACCTCCTTCATGATAGGCTCCTGAGGGTCCTTGCTCTCCACGATGCAGGGCTCCACAAAGTAGCCCACCGAGTCATCACACTTGCCCCCTGCCAGGACGGTGAGGCTGGGCGAGGAGCGGGCGTGCTCCAGCCACTTCCGGATGCGGCCGAAGGACTGCGGCGGCGGAAGGAGAGGCATCAGGGCCGGCTGGGGGGCCGTTCCCAGCAGCAGCCCCCAACACACATCCCGGAAACACCGTCCCAGAAGGGCCCGAACCCGAAATGGGAGGGGCGAGGGCGGACGCCCGAGTCTGGCTGAGCCGCGGCGGAGACGAGGGCAGATGCGCACACTCACACGCATGTGTGCGCGTGTGGTAGAAGTACAGGTGTACTCACGTATAAACACAACACACACAAGTGTACACAAGCGCATACGCACGGCCACCTGTCCTCATGATTAAGTACATAGGTATATGTATGCTTATGCTCACGCATGAAGACCTACACGTGGCCTCTATACATACATGAACATGTACACGAATGTGTGTGCGTGCACACCCGTGGGTGGATTTGTCCATGTATGGAGATATGTGCGTGTGGATGTGTGTGTTCCTGTGGGAGACCCACATGCACGCCCACACGCAGATGGGAGGGCCTACTGCGCGTGCACAGGCACACACGCACTTGCGGGGAGCCAGCTGAGCCCGGCGGCAGGGGTGCGGGAGGCGAGCTCTCTGCTTACGGCCGACTCCGCCTCGTCCAAAGCTGGGGCGGGGTGCACGTGTTGCCGGAGCGGCCCTGCTGGAAGCAATGGGCCCGGTCGCCCGGGTTCAGGCCCCCGCCCCCCTCCTCCGTCTCCCCCCGGTCCGGCCTCGGCCCCGGCCCCAGGAACGCCCGCTGCTCCCCGTACCTTGGCATCAATCACCGCGGAGAAGAAGGTCCCAAAGTCCTCTGCAGG